TTTTATGTGGACAAAGGAAGCAAAGGGAACATTTTTGCAAGTGAGCCGCCGCACCTCAAGTCGGGTGGACCCGCGAGCAAAAGGGTCCCGCAAAGTTGTCCCCAAAAGATGCGGCCGGTTGATGCGGATTGGCGGAGACTTCTCCGCTTCCCTTCGTCGTCACCTCAGGACCGTTCGAAGCTGAACCCCAACGTCGTTTCCCCTCACCTTTGAGAAGCACTGACCGGAGATGTGCGGCAAAGAGGACATTGGTGTGACGCCGAGTTAAAAGTCGCCGCATGAATTCGGGCTGGACAATGACCGTCATTCCACATGAATAATTTTCCTTTTTTTCCTTTTTTTTTGCAACCCAAAAAACAATTCATAGATTCATTTGAAAATCAAGGAACGCATTTCAATTTTTATTTTTATTTTTTTATGATACCGTGTCCAGAGCAGGGCTGGCCAACCTCTATTTTTTTTTTTTTGCGTGACGGACCAGTTGAGACAAGCCCGTGCTGTGTCAGTCGACCTTTTATGAACAGCGATTCCTTCATCATTCATTCTACTGCGCAACAAACGTAGGATCAAGTAACACAGTGGACTAACTGCCGGCTGAGAACAAGCCCAGATTTGTTTGCAGCGCTGTCGCAACGTGATATCCCGTCTGTTGACGCCACACTCGTTGGCTACAATTTGAGGAAGTTGTGGTCGTGAAGGCTTAAAACAGGGGTGTCAAACTCATTTCACATTGTGGGCCACATACGGACTCGTTTGATGTCAAGTGGGCCGCACCATTAACATTATACCATACTCTGCTATGAATAACCAAAATATCATGACTTTGTTTTGGTATAAAGAAGCATTGGTGCATTGATACCGTCTGCTGTGTTGCGTCTGTCTCAGTGACAGACTGAGACTGTTTTCTTCTCTGATCAAAACAATGTTGTCTTCTATTCTTATCAAAACAGTGTGCCCCTAGTGGACAATCCATGAATTGCATTTTATTAAAAAAGATTCATTCCATGTCTTAAATGCATTTTTTTCACTTTTAAATGATCCTGCGGGCCTGATCGAACCTCCTTGGGGGCCGGTTCCGGCCCGCGGGCCGTATGTTTGACACCCCTGGCTTAAAAGCACGCCAAGCGTCAAGCTCCCGGTGTGGAGTCGACATTTTGGACTGCAAAGTATGGTCCAATGCTATAAAAAAAAAAATAATAATAATAATAGTCATAATCCATCATGTATTATTGATTTGCACATGAGCAATTCCAAAAAAATGCTACATTGTACCTTTCAAGGTAAACACGTCAACTGTGTTCATTCGTCATTTTTATGATTTCACGATCACGTCTGCACTGCACGATTTCCGTTTGGCATTTTTTTTATTCCCGTCGTGGCACGGGGGGGGGGGGTATGCGCACGCGCAACTCACCCGATTGGTTGCATCGCATTGCAATCGTTTGACATTGTCTCGTGGCAAACTACGGAAGCGTTAAACCGTCGATGTGGACGAAACATTTTTGGCTGGCAAATACGTGAGATCAGATTTGCCAACATATTTGCACGTACGCTCCGACGGACTTACAAATACGTATACTTGTAAGAACGCCATGAACGCGAAAAACGTTTTTTTCCCACCAAAAGCAATGGGTTATTGACTCACATATGCCCAAGTAAAGTTTTTATATATTTTTTTTTGCATTTGACGGAGTGATGCGCTCCCTCTCCGAAAACCAGCGGCGTTGTGGACCTACTGGAGGCGCTCGATGGAGGATTGGCTGAGTCCAAAGTCAAGTGTGTGACCGTAATGCAGCATGATGATTTCGTCTGATGTCTGCAGCGCATGCTTTGTATTGTATTTCAAATCGTATCTTTTTCTTCCGAAAAACACGTTGCAACATTTGAGTTGTTTTTGGGGTTGGCTGGAACAGTGCGTCAGCTTGGCTAAGTCAGCTCCAAAATGGCCACACACCTTCCTAGCTTGCAATCGCTTGTGTTTTTTTTTTTCCTTCCTCTTCCGTTGTGAAGAAAGACTTGAGGCAACACTCATCCTCGCGCGCGTCCGTGAGCGTTGCCGCGGCGGCCGCGCGTAATAACGACGCGCTTTTTCCCGCCGCTCTCGGCCACAAGTGAGCCACGACGCTTCGGGAGCTGGAAATCAATAGTCAATTTCATTTTGCGCTCGCGCCGTGCGACGACGGGTCCCTGGAGAGAGAAGTGGATTGGCCTCGTGTCTGGGTCCACCACGAGTGCGAGTCCAAGCTTGACCCAGTTCCCATCCTCCCTTCCTAAGTCGGCCCGTGGCTCCGTTTGGCATTTTCTTCCATCTCGGCGTGGAGCGACGAAGCGCTCAGAAATAGGACGGATAATTCAACTCCTGACTCCTGACAAGCGTGTCAAAGCGCATCCTTCATGGACATGCTTTGGGTGACACTGGCAAGGACGCGTGATTTCAACATCAGATGCTCACTGTGCTGAAGTCTCGCAAAATCTCCAGACTGGGAATTCAGATCTGGGCGAACTCAACTCTAAATTGGATTGCTAGTGTGTTGACCTCACAGTGCAGAGGTCGTGGGTTTGATCCCCCACCCCCCCCC